AAGTCCATGAAGTGTGGCGCATGCATCGTTGGTAAGTTACAATAGGATCCAGAAGTGTTTTTAAAGATTAACAAATATTAATGATGACTCTCAAAATTAAGAATACAATAATTTTGAGAAAAGAGAGCTGATAAGAGTCAGATGTGGATCTAAGTGTGCACTAAAACGCCCATGTATTCTAACAATAAGTTAGAATAAATTGAGATTACATAATTATATATTGCACACTTATATCCACGTCAGATTCTCACCTCTTGGTATTTAGTTTTTATTATACTTAATATAAATAGCCTAATTCTTATTTTCCAGATGCATGTGCCCACCAGTACAAAGGCAATTTTATGAAAGCAACAGTATCGGGAGCTATTAGTACATGGCTTCGCAGCCATTCAAAAAAGAGGGCTGCAGACAACGGAATACCAACGTGATCGACAACTGCGGCGACGATTTCGAGAGCAACAAGAGCTCTAGATATACCAAAGTAGCGCACAAGTCCTCCATTTTTTACTTACCATAAGTACCCTATACCAATAATACTAAGTGCTTATTGGACTACATACAACTAGATCGAAATGGCGGTCGAAATAGCCAATAGGAAGGTTGTCGGCATTTTGGATCAGATAAAAGAAATGCGCTTCTTTGGTATATCTAGGCCGGTATTCATAGGCGGATCTTATATTTAAGACTGTCTTAAGTACAGTCTTAAGATGTCATGAACCAATCAGAAGGCCGCATTAGCGACTTAAGACATTACTTAAGATGGTCTTAAAATAAGAACCGACTATGAATACCGGCCCTAGAGCTTTAAGAGAACAGAGGCCGAAATCCTACTAGCGGAGGAAGGAAAAAGGGTAACATGATGTGTATGAAGCAGAATCGTCCGTGCGATCCCTGAAAAAGTAAGAAGATGCAAAATTGATAATTGCTAATCATTGATCATTTCACATGAAAAAAATAGAATGTCATCTTTAAAATGCTTCCTCATCGAGCTCGATATAATCATTTTTCATTATATTTCCAAATTTCAAATACCACTTTATTAGCTAAAATTAGTATGGTTGTAATTCTTCCTAATATAAACTGCACAGAGTTCGACTAGTTGGAATTGAACATTATTGTGTGTGTGCGCGCGCGCGCGCGTGTGTGTGTGTGTACGTGTGCGTGCGGTGTGCGTGTGCGTGCAAGCGCGTGCCTGTGTGTGCGTGTGTGTGAGGATGTTCGTATGAGTGAGTGAGTGAGTGAGTGTGTGAGTGAGTGAATGAGTGAGTGAGTGCGTGAGTGAGTGGGTGAGTGAGTGGGTGAGTGAGTGGGTGAGTGAGTGTGCCTGTAGTATGCTTTTCATTATGCTTGTGATACGCAATGTATCACTCGTTTACTCACTCACATACACACACGCGCGCGCGCGCACACACACACATGCACTCACACCCACAATGAAATTCAATTCCGACCAATCTAACTCCATGCAGTTCATATTAGGAAAAATTAAAACCATAATTTCAGCTAATGACAACAATATTTTAAATTGGAAATAACTTAACGAAAAATGATCGCATTGAGCTCAGTAAAGAACTATTTTAAAGATAACACTTTTCCTGGCAGAATAATGATCTTCAATTATCAATTTTACATCTTCTTACTTTGTTATCTGCCAAAGATAATCTTACCTCCAATAGAGTAGTATTAATTTGAGTAGTAGTATTTTGTAATGTCTTGTCAGTATTTTTGTAGTTAAATCAAACTTTAAAATTGCTTATAAGAGACACTGGATGGATTTATGTATATAAATTTATTCAAGTGTGACAAATGTAATATACGTTTCGATTGCCGTTTAGATCCTTTTGAATAATAGTCCTACCACGTAGGATAGTCTACCACTATTATTGAAAAGGATCCAAATGGCAAATCCAATCATATATTACATTTGTAATACTTGAATAAATTTATATACACAAATCCATCCAATGTCGGCTCTTATAGGTAATTTCATAGTTTGATTTAATTCGCTAGAGCTTTGTTATTAATCTATTTTTGTACTTTTTTGCTTATGTTATTATTGTAAAATTATTAGCGCTTAAATTTTGTCCATTCTACTTAATAAAATACTGTTTAAGTTAAGTAATACTGTTTAAATACTGTTAAGTAATACTGTTTAAATACTGTTTAAGATTTAGTCCTTAGTTTTTTACTTGTATTTTTCGATCAATCAATAATATCTAAATTTTGCGATACAGTTTATCAAGTTAATTTTCTCTAATTATTTTATAAGTTATAGTTACTAAACTAAAATAAAAAATCCTGTTGTAATAAATTATTCAAATATGGGCAAGTTAGAAATTTAGAAATTTTAAATGTGAATGTAAATTATCATTTACATATTTGTAATAAAGTATAAAACAATTGCAAATATTTTGTTATTTCGATCTCCTCAAATTTTTTCTATCTGGAGAGTAAATTCCATGCAGCAACGCCTGCAAAGCACAGGATAAATGGAGTTTCATAGCGCTTTCCGAGCGCTTTGCAGGCGCTGCTGTGCTACGCGGGAAGTGCTATAAATGTGCTATAAAACTGCATTTATTTTTCGCTGATTATTTGCGCTAATAGTGCGCTTTTTATAGTGGATTTTGATAGCGCTTTTAAAGCGCTGATGCGCTTTTAAAGCGCTAAAAAACTGCTAGATTTATGCACCCGCAGAAGCGCTTTTTTAGCGCTTTTTAAACGCTGATGTGCTACGTGGGAGGGGAAGGCTCCGATTGCACACATCGCATGTTGCACACATGTATCGCTCATTGGCCAATTTAAAAATAAAATAATCTTATTGGTAAAACAGTGAAAAATTACTAGGCACCGGGTGATATGAGTGGTGTGTGCAATCGAGATTTTAGGCAAACGGGATCCTCCCATCTCTTCGAATACTCCGTCCAGTGGTATATGTCGATGGTTGAGTTTGCCGAACGCGGGTGGCACCCAGTTGGACACGGCTCAATTGGACACAAGCCACTCATAGCGCTTGAGATTACAAAGCTCCTAAGCACCGGTCGCTGTGATTGGTGGTGTCCAATCGAGCCGTGATCAATCGGGATCACCCCCCGAACGCAACCACTGGGTGTATTCGGTGGCTGCGTTTAACAAACTCTACAGTTGAATGTGCGCTCGCTGTTATTGGTGTATTCTTTTAGATCATCCAATCAGCATTTTAGATCTGAAGGAGTACATCAATAGCAACGAGCGCTCATTCAACTGTTGAGTCCGCTGAACGGGAGGATCCCATTTGCTTACAATCCCGATTGCATACACCACTCATATCAGCTGGTGCTTAGTAATTTTTCAGGAGGTTTCCGTTTGCCTACAATCCCGATTGCACACACCACTCATATCAGCTGATTCCTAGTATTTTTTCACTGCTTTACCAATATTTTATTTTTAAATTAGCCAATTAGCGACGCATGTGTGCAACATGCAATGTGTACAATCAGAACCTTCCCGTCTACTGAACGCAGCAATTATTAAATGAAAAATCGAAATGTGCATATGCAGTTCGATTTTTCACTAAGTAAAGATATCATTACATGGGAGCATCAAGCGTCGAGCATCTGTGCAGAAACTTATTGCACACAATTCTGAAATTTCTGATTCCAGCTTCTTTAAGCAAAAGAGTAAATTAAGAGAGGTTGTGTTTTAATATACACTATCCTGGCATATAATACTTAAAATTTACATTTGATTACATTACACAACGTAATCTACAAGATTCCTTTAAGGTCCGGTATTCATAGTCGGTACTTATTTCAAGACGGTCTTAAGTAATGTCTTAAGACGCTAATGCAGCCCTCTGATTGGTTCACGACTTCTTAAGGTCATACTTAGACAGTCTTGAATATAAGATCTTACTATGAATACAGGCCTAACAGTAGTGTAATCGAATTCAATGCGTTTCAGTGAAATTATTCAATATATCACTGAGCATGCTCTGACACTCGATGCTTGGCTGGGTTCGGGGAGACGCTATTAGCGCTACCCAGATAGCAAAATACCTCCACGATATTAGTATGGTCATCGTACAGCGTACTATGCGTGCCGATACCGTACCTGTCAGGTATGTGCGTACCTAAAGGGTACAGTAGCGGTACACCGTACTTTTGGTACGCCGTACCAGAGAGAAACCTGAGAGAGGCCATGGCGGCCTTTTTCGCGTGATAGGCGAAAGCCATCGTACGCTAGCGGCACCAACATCATTTTTATAAAATGATGTGAACTACGTATCGCATTATCGACACTATCGATAAAATCGTAATGTCGATACATGGATTTGGTGCTAAATCCACAAATATAATATTAATTTACAAAAAAATGTTTTTTAATCGAATAAGGCGTTTTTTTATAGATTTTTGGATGCTGAAAACGATGCCGTGAGTTAAATTTCACTGGTACGTCAGGTTATCGAAATAATTGAGGTTTAATATGCAAAAATGACTCTTTTGTGATATTTAAAACGTTTTTGTTAAAAAAGATTAACTTTATGTTAAAATTGTAATCAAAAGTCATAAATGTATTGTTCATCTTCTACAAAATGTATTTTAAAAAATGCATTTTATAGGACGTGAACAATACATTCATATAACAAAAACTTGAAATCAGCATTTCGAGATAACGTTAACTTTCTTTATAAAAGAATGTAAAATGTTGTAGAACAAAGTCATTTTTTAAACATTAAAACTTAATTATGTTGGAAACCTATAACGCTAAAATTTTTTGGCATTATTTTCAACATTCAAAAATATAACCCAATGCGAATTAAGTAATATATGTTTTATGTTATATATAATATGTATACTTTATATATAGGTACATATAGGTAATACACACATATATGTATATATATATATATAATACACACATAAGGTTATATAACAGAAATCCTTTACTGTAAAAAAATATTAGTTAATTGTACACATTACTAACGAAATTACAAGAAACAAATTTTAAAATGGTATTATAGAGCGTATGAAAAAAATTAGATTCCTTTTCAATAAAAATTATAATTTATTTTAATGTATAAAATAAAATATATGCAAATAAATCTTTTCATACAGTTTTTTTCTTAAACAGCGAATTTCATTACAACAGCATTGGTTTTTTGCTTCGCCGATTTTGAAAGAGACAGCTTCACATTATCACAAAAAACCCCGAGTTAAATCTAATTCCATTGAGTCTCGTTGCGGTACGCATCCTGTTGTAATTCATTTCGTAAAAGAAAACCTCACTTTCTGATATAAATATTCGATTCACCGGTTAAAGCGTCGCCACCCTTTGTAAGTATA